TGTTTTCTTCTCCGTGATGATCGACGAAACCCCAAAGCGAGAGCAAAGAACGCAGCAACTGGATGTGCTTGTTAGGTACTTTTCTAACAGCCAGCAATAGGTTGTCGTTGAGCATGTGCAATCGTACAACCTCGGGCGTGCCACCGCGGAAGTAATTGTGGGCTGCGTAGAAGACGCGCTGACTGAGCTACCGAAGAGAGGGCTTGTTTGTTTTTTCAGTGACGGGCCTAACGTCATGAAAAGCGTGAGGAACAAGCTCCAAAAGGATATGCCATCAAGTTTGGTTGACATCAACAACTGCAACCTTCACAAAGTCCACAATGCTTTTGCAAAAGGTATCGATGCGTTTGGCTCGGATGTTGAGGAGGTCGTCCGAAACGTCTACTACTACTTCAAAAGCGCTGTTCGTGCTGAAGCCCTCGGAGAATGTCAGGAGGCTCTAGGAATTGCTTCTCATCTGTTTCTGCGTCATGTATCCAGCCGCTGGCTCACACTTCAAGATTCACTGTGTCGTGTCCTAGAACAATTCGAAGCGCTGAGGTAATACTTTCACAAGGCAAGCATGACAAAGCAGCGAGTGGGCACTCAGAATCTTCACAGCAAGCTTGCTGCAGCATTTTCAAAGAAAGACCTTTCAGCCAAGGTGTTGTTCTTGAAGAACTGTGCCGAGCATTTTTCTCGGTTTCAGACACTGTTTCAGAACCAAGAGCCCCTGCTACACATACTCCACGCGGAGTTGCTATCTCTAGTCCAGCGAATCCTCAGCCGTTGTTTGAGGAGTGCAGCCTATGTGGACAAGAGTGCGGAGGAACTGAAGAAACTCGATGTGCAGGACTCTACCCTGTGGAAAACCAAACCAGAAGTGGGTATGGACACTGAGCAGGCATTGCTGAAATGGGATCCAGGTGAAAAGAAGCGGTTACTTCTTGGGGCCCGTGCCTTCTACTTGGCTTGCTCGAGAGACCTCCTGCAGAAGCTGACTCTTGACAATAAAGTCCTTCAGCACACAAGTCTCTTGGGATTGCAGCCCAGCGACGTGGAGTCAGAAGTCCGATCCTTGCGATACCTTGCTTCCCAGCTGCCTTAAGTGCTTGAGAGCGACCACGTGTCATCACTGGTCGATGAGTGGCATCTGCTGAGATGTGACTCTGCTAACAGCCTTCAGTTGATGGAAGATGGACGGACTCGTTGGGCTACAGTATTTCAACAAAAGTGCGCAGCTGGTCAGCAGAAGTACCCACTGTTGTCAAGGCTAGTAAAAGCGCTCCTCTCTCTACCTCATGGCAACGCGGACTGTGAGCGAGGCTTCAGTGAGAATAAGCATCTCCTTAAAGGCCGAGCCTCATTGCGCATTGCGAGCATCAACGGATTGCGGCAAGTGAAGACCTACCTGCAGAGGTATGATGGAGATGCCACAAAGGTGCCCCTGTCACCAGACCTTCTGCGAAGCGTCAAAAGAGCAAGAGCCCGGTATGAGGAAAGAATCGGAAGCAGAGAAGCCGACATGAAGAGAAAAAAGCCTGACAGCGCACAAGTTGATGCTGACAACTCGCATGACAAGCGCTTAAAGAAGCAGTTGGAGGAAAGGGTGATCTCGTGCCGTGCGTTGCTGAAGAGGGCGGAAGAGACCATTGGTGCAGGACTGAAGTGCCAAAGCTTGGAAAAAGTAGAAGGTGGCCAAACTATGTTAGCTGAAGCCAATGCTACTTTGTCACGCACTCTTTGCGAGCTGGACGAACTGAAAAAGAAATGCAAAAAGCATTGAGTCAATATTTTTTTTCACCTGTGATATATAGCATACAGTCAAAAGGCAAGACGTATTAAGCAATGTTTTAGTTTTCATCTGTGATATTTTGTTACATAGTTAAGCTTTAGCTGCAAGAATGTTCTGTCATAAATAAAATGGTTTTCTTATGGTGAGTTCTTTTCTTTGTAAATTACTATATGAAATTCAGATGTCCGTGACACACACAGACATATATATATATGTATATGGGGGGTGAGGTAAGATTGACAAGAGCAGCCGTAATATATATATAATAATGAAGACATGGCACAGAACTGCTCGATGTTCATGCTGCTCCAAAATGTTTAGTTTTCCTGATACCAAGGTGCTCCAAAACGAGCTTTTCCCTGCTCCAAAAGGGGAGTTTATGTGATACGAATTGCTCAAACATTGGGTTTTTCTTGCTCCAAAAATTGCTCCAAAACCTAAAATGGGTGGACCACCACTGTTAATTACATCCACATTTCGTTGGCCATCATATCCTGCAAGTTAGGCACACAATAATTTATGCGCACTGTACGAAAACAAAGATTCGTTAAGGTGCCAGTGCCTGGTACACATTCATTTTTTCTATCGTTTCCCATTTCAGGAAGGTTTGAGGTGATAGGCTGGCTTTTTGAGAATGCTGGATGTTTTGTGAACATGTAAATCATGCTCACGTATTGAAACCACCACATCCCGCACATGCGTTCTGCACTTCTTATTTGAGAAACCAAGAATAAGCATGAAAAGTATGTTCAATTGGTGTGGGGATGCATCGCAGCTTTCCTTTAAGCGTTTACTTTGCCACAGGCTGCAGCCAAACAACTTTGACAGCTCAAATGGGTGACTGCCAGGGCGAAGCCTTCCAGCTTCGGAATGCATTCTCCCGGAGGGCTAGGCTTTGCGAGGGGCCAAAAATCCTGCTTACCTTAGGCTTATCCTCTCAGAAGAAGCCGATACAAAAGGGGACCTTCCCCCTGCCTCGCCATACAGTTAGACAAGAGGAAAAGGAGAAAGAAAAGAGGGAGAGCAGGACTTTCCGCCGGGCGGAAGAATATTTTTGCAGGTTCCCCTTTAAGCGAGTTGGTGCTGAATTTGAGAAGGCATGTTAGCGCTTGAAGACAGGGACTAAAGAGCAGAACTGGACACCACTGTACGCTAACTTTCGACTCTTTATTCACGGTCAAAGAGGAAACTGTACATTGTGCCACCACACCACTCCAATCCGGTGCCACCTGGCGCTTTCAAGAATGCAAACTTAGTTCCTTGGCCAATCCATGCCAAAGGAGACACTGCAGTTTTTTAGAACGCAGCTCTTAGGTTCCGGGTTGAGCGGCGTCGGCATAACCGTGCGTTGCATTATGGGATGTTTCCCATAATGACATCGCACATGCCATCACGAGGGTAAAATTTTTCAGCTAAATTTGTCTGGAAAATTTTCCCACTAAATTTCACGCCAAATTTAGCGGGAAAATTGTTTACTCGTGACATCACGTGACGTCATGCTAAATTTAGCAGAAAAATTTAGTGGAAACTTTTCCGCCTAATGTAGCAAAGAAATTGATGCCACGTCACCTCAACACCAATTCAGTTTCTGCGCTAAATTTAGCGGGAAAATTTTCGCTATACTTTTTTGCTAAATTTAGCAAGGAAATATTTCCCTGCTTAATTAAGCAGGGAAATTTTCGCTTCATTTAGCAAGAAATTTGCGAAAATTTTCCACTAAATGGGAGTGGGGGGGCAGGAGAAGCATACCCTCCCCTCTGTACCCTCCCTTCCTCCTCTTCAAGAGCTGCACTCTATTTTGGCATTACAGAAAATTGTAAACGTCTTTCATATTTTTACAGCAGTGACTGTTAGTGTTCCTTCCTGGCAAAAGATGCTCATGTATGAATGCAAAACCCTACTCTGCAACACACGCACTGCTTCACTTTCTCCGTCATTCCTCACATATGCACGCCAACTGTGACAAGGCTCTCTCTCACTAACCGCCCCCCCTTCCCCCCTCTAGGCTGCCGCTGTTTCGAAAAACCCAAGTGATCACGGGAAGAGCGCTCTTCACTTCCCCATCATTCTCCCTACATCCACATACCCTCCGGTGACACTCTCCCTTCTTCCCCCGCCCCCACCCCTCCGGCAGCTGCCGTTGCGAAATACCCACGTAGTCATGACGTGCGGACACACCCCCTAGCCTCCCCATTGCCGCCGCAAAGGTTCCATTTTCGTGTGCTCCCCGTGCCTCTGCAGAAGAGCTCACGTACATACTTTTGCTTCTTCCATTGCAGTTGCGGCAAAAAGAAAAAGCACATCTCGTGTCCTTCTTTAACACATGCGACACTTCGCACAATTGTTCCACCTAAGCAAACATCTCCTCACACACATCTCCTACACCAATTCCACTGAAAGCAAAGAACCCATTGCAAACATTGTGCAGCACACTGGCTGAAGGAAAATCTCCTTCAACATGCCTTTCCTTAAGGCAGAAGCTACCGCTGTCAATCACAGTACACTTTCGGCGGTCGTTTTCCTTTTTTATTTCCTGCTCTGCATTCATCGCTGTGCACTGTAGGCTTGCAGCTTTCTTTTTTCTTGATCGCCGCTATCAAATTTGATGAAAATAAATTCAATGATTATTATTATTATTATTAATATTGTTATGATAACCTCCGCTTGTTAATATCTCGCAACTTCTTCCTTCATCAGCCTCAAGAAGGCCACCTTTAGTTTTGCACAGATGCCATACACTCAAGGTTGGGTGGATGTTAATGGCTGTACCTTTTATAACGGGCGATAGCTTGCACCACGTAGCCTAAAAACTAATATGAAATACAGTTTTTTCTTTTCACATTTTTAAACCAATTTTCTTTTCTGCATTTTATTTTTTTAACTATCATCAGGCAGCGTGGGATATCTCCAGGGTGACCTTTAAGAAATTGGGCGAAGAAAAAACAAAAAAATCACCCACCTCTTTTTTCCTCTGGCATGGGAGTCGCCAATTTCCCTCTGGTCAAGCCTGCTCAGCGTTACCCCAACACCAAACTTGCTAGAAGTTAGGATTGAAACTTCGGGATGAAGCCACACGGGAGATAGTCCCGGTTTTTCTCTGTCCCTCCCAACCCCCAGCTGTGCTAGTTAAAAAACGACGATAGTGGTCAAAGTGGCCAGACTGAATTTTGAAAGGGTCTATTTCGGGACAAATGAGCGACCGCCGAACTCTGGCCGGTGCCCTCAGGACGGGCGGGGAGCGAGCGGCGGCATGGCGGCCAAGCCCCTGGTGCTGCGGGTGAAGAGCCAGCAGGGTCACTTCCGTCTGGACACCCTGACCGGAGAGAGCACGGTGGAAGAGCTCAAGGCCTGCCTGTTCAGCCTGACGGGCATCCCGCCCCCGGCCCTGCGCGTGCTGGCCGACTTCCCGCCCCGGCCTCTGGACTGCTCCGACGAGCTCCGCCAGCTGGGTTCTTTCCCGGTCCGCTCCGGGGACACCCTTATCGTCGAGGAGCAGGTGACGCCCGCCTTGCGCTCTTGCGGGGAAAGGCCCTTGGAGTGCCCTCGGTCTTCACTGTTGGGGGAAATGGGGAGTTTTAGGGAAGTCCCTGAATTCTCTAATCCTTAAAGGGGCACTCAAGTGCTTTTTGTGGAAGCTTGTTTTTGATGATATATTGTTTGTTGGGCTTTAGTCAGTATTAATTACCAGTTCTAAATGAACGGTGGGAAAGACGCTCATCCTTTTGTTTCCACCACCACTATAAAATTTGACCATTGAAAATAGTTAACTACGCAGAGATTCTGAATGTTACTATGATGCGCGTTGTGCTTTTTATTTTGACAAAAACGTCTCGTCTTTGGGTGTAGAAGACGTAATACAGCAATTATTGTTCGAAAATGCCATCCAACGGCTCCTGGTGTCATTCCAAAGGGCAGAAAAATGGGCGTGTCATGATCTTGATGAAATTTTTAATGGGAAAATTGGCTGGCCCATGAGCGTAATTTCAGGTTTTAATGTGGAAGCATTGAGTGTCTCTTTGAGTGAGCCGTTGCATCTGTTTGAAGCGTGCCAAACGGCATTTTCAATCCTATCTCCAGGTGAAGCCAACTCCCAGCTATGAAACCACACGAAGAGCCTAGTTTCCCCGATCCCAAAGGAGTGGAGTAAAGCTGATGGATTTCGCCTTCAATCCCATTGGCTGTCGCGCATCGACTAGGCTCCCATTGGCCGCTGCACGCGTCAGTTTCAATGACCGCCGCCCCATGGCGCTGCGTGTCCGTGCCGTGATCGTGCCTGTAACACGAAGCGTCGAACTCCAAGGTCAGAGCTGCGAGGAGAGCTGGGAGAGCATGCGCACGGCCGACATAAATACGGCGCAAACGAGACACGGGCGCAGAAGAACGGCACGCATGCTTTCGCATTCACAGCTTGTAAGAAGTGCTTAGGTGTACCTCAAGCCTTTTTTTTAGGATGGTTAGAGCCCGTAGATTGAGTTTGAGTCATAAATAGACGCTGTCCAGTTCGGCTTGAATGCTCCTTTAATATTGTTAAGATATCTGCATATTCAACTGTCTCTCGACCAGGACCTGTTTGCAGATGAATGCGGCTAGGAGAAAGCGACTCCCGTCTTACACTCGTGCTGGTAAAGCTGGGGGAGGGCCTGGAAATGTCACGGCTTTTGGGGACAAATGAGGAACGTCAACAAAGACCCCGAATTCCCTGCGTGCCCTCAAATCCCTGGTCTATTTACAAAAACGATTGTATAGGCCTGGACCAGTTTGCTAGTGAGTGCGGGCTAGGGAATGTGGGTATGAAGGGTCCTGAGGTTGCATTATCGGGTTTGAAGGGGAAGAAGTACCGTAAAAAGTATTTTATGGTAATGCCGCCCGCAACTGTTTTGCAAATGGCGTCGGCAAGGACGTAGCCGTCGATCCACGATAGTAGGCATAATCAATGACTCCCATTGGTTGCGATTTGTGAAAGGATGCAACTACAAACTCGTCAAAGAAAGCAAGGGGATCGAGGCAGTCTCGGAATGCACGTGCTGCCCCATCAGTATCACGTCGTACTGCGGAAACATGTAGTCTCGCCGTAGCCTCCCAATGGATGTAATCTCGACGAAGTCGGAACTACTCGCACTCTTAAGGATAGACGAGCTCAACGAGCTGAGCAGTGTGTAGAGCTACTCGCCGCAAATGCCGGCCGCCATGTTTGTTGTCGCTTGAAAAAGTAGAAAGGGCAGTCTTGGGGTATTTTGGAAAATAGTGACCATACCTAGATAATTTGTTTCTGAATTATAAAAGTATGCTGAACAAAAAACTGTTACGGCACGGAGAAACAAGTTTACGACCAACATTCCCCGTGGCAATCGTCTCTCCAGCCAGTGAGAGATATAAGCACTAGGCAGGGCTTAGAGCGAGCTGCAATGTCCACCTTCTCCACTAAATTGCGTCTAACAATGTAAATGTTGGGCAAGAGTTCTTTTTGTGGTTAATGTTTGTCAATTATGTGTTCCAACCAGGGCCCTTAAAGGGCAACTCCGCTCAATTCCGAAAAATGTAGGCTCACTTGTGATTCCATTTCACAAAGCACTACTAAACAGCTCTACGTCTTCGGATTTGGGAAATGTGGAATATTATTTGTGTAATTCTAATTTAAGCATCAGCTGATACCGAAACCGAAACTTCGGTTGCTGCAAGCAACATTGGTCTCGCATCGTCAGAGTCATGGCCAGGTCATGTCGAACCACATGGTCTTGTGACGTTCGGGGGGCGAGGGACAGGACACGCGACGTGGGCAGGTCGCTTCACATGGCGTGAACGGTGATGACCCGGGGGAGAGGGGGAAAGGGAGAAGACGAGAGAGGAGAGGACAAGGGGAGTGGAGAAACAGACCGATAAGTGCGCAGGGCAGCACAAACTAGCGCATCTGCGTTACGGTGATCACGTGGACGCCGTTCAGCCAACACCGGGAGGAGAAACTCATGACGTCATAGTTCAATTTCAAAGTGTCTCTCCCATTTCAACAAAATGGGAGAGACACTTTATCTCAGCTGAAGTATCTTGCTGTAAATCATTTGTCAGCCATTTTTTTTAATCCCCGTTGTAAACGGAATTTCATTTAACTTGAGCCTTATTTGTAAAAAGACATCTTTGTGCCATGTTGTACTTTTATGATTATTTATATGTATTATAATTACAAAAGGTAGTAATATGTTTTAATATCAATGATGAACCCTCAACTATAATCAAAGATTGACTCATTTAGTTATGCAATCCTTGTGTAATTTTCAAGTGATTATTATTATTTTTATTGTTATTATTTAACGGTACTATTATTCCTTACAAGGAGTAGGATGGGAGTGGCATAAAAAAAGCACTTGAACAAAAGAACTTCAGTGAGGGTGTGGGCACACTTTACCAGGGTCTTGAACCAATGCTGAACAAACATTTTTTCAGTAGCACACTGGGCATATTATATTTCAAAAGGATGCTGTATGTACAAAATGGACAACAAAAACATTAGTTCTAACAAAACAGAAAAAGCACTTTTTTTTTAATTATTTGTAGCAAGCAAGTTATACAAATGATGAGAGTTGGTCAGGAAATGACAAAACATTATCACAATCAACATTGTGCCTAGGTGTGTGTCTTAATAGGATGCTGCTTGTGGAAAGCCAACATGTTGGCATTATTAAACCTTTGAGTGCCTCAAAGGGTTAAAAAACATGCCCTTTTAGGGATATATCTCGCTATATCTTTGGCAGAACAAGTTGATGATGCGAGTCAATTTCTTACTGATCTCCGCGTTGTGGCATTACCCTCCCCGCAGCGGCCTCGCACGCCACAGGGCGTCGTCCGCAACCCGCAAGCGGCGGCCCGTAACCCCTCGAGCGGCGCCCGCTCCCCCGCCCAAGTGTCCGAGCCAGGGGTGCTACTCCGACGCTCCGTGCCCGCCGACAACTCCTGCCTCTTCACGAGCGTCTACTTGGCACTCTCCGGGGGTGACTACGACGCCGCTGCGGGTGCTGCCCTGCGCCAGGTGAGAGATCTTCCTCATTTGAACGGTATTAGCGCACACGTATGTGCGCTAATACCGTTCAAATGTCTAACTACGAACTAGCCCAGTTATCAACCCTTTTGCAGTTTATATCTTCCTCATCACTTGTTGAGTATCCTTGCCGCTTCAGTCAATCTCCTTAGATCTGCAAGTTTTTACTTATTTATTTATTTCATTTTCCCTCAAGGCCAAAGGCATTACAGAGGGGGAGAGCAAAGAAAAATACAGAAAAGAAAAACAAGCCTAGAAATAGGTTAAACACACTCAACAAATAATAGATTAGTAATTGGAGTTTTGAAAAGGTCAGAGGGTTCGTGATGGTGGCAATTGTCCCGGGGAGGTGGTTTCATTCTCATGATGTACGAGGGACGAACGATGAATGAAATGTTGTTGTGTTAGAAATTGGAATACCAATCTTGTGATTGTGATCGTTGGGAGAAGAAACGTAAAAAGGACGGGATATTAATTTGTCGCGCAGGATAGAATTATGAAAATAAGTCTCATGTAATAAAGAAAGGCGGGAGATGCTTCGGTGCAAGGCTAAAGGCGGAAATGATAGTGAAGCTTTCATGGCGGTCACGCTAGCCGTGTTGTGGTAGTCAGTAATGTAAGTGCTGCGCCAATTGCGCCAAGGACGCAATCCTGCTACATGTAGCGCCAAATCGTCATTTTACCGGAGAATTGCGCCATGCCTACGCCGAGATGAGATGTAGCAATAAAAAATAAAAATTGAAGTCTTGTCAGAGCGCGTGGCGGTACCGCGGTATTTTCCGCGCCGCAACTGTTACGCAAACCGAAACTGCGAGGGCGCATTATCATCATCATCATTGAAAGGAACAACGTTAGCAACATCTGAGACCAAAGCCGCAGAGGCAAAGCGAAGAACCATCCCACTGAGCAGCCTATTAAAAAAAAAAGAGGTCGAGCTTGTGAATGTTTTCAAAGTTGGCCCGCCCTGTTCCCGTGCGCTAGCTACCAGCGAAGTCAAAGCTAGCGCGAGCCCAGTGCTTTTTGCATTCCTGACTCGCGCGTGGGCTCGTGCAGTGTTGGCACCGTTACGGGCTCCATGCGCGCGCTTGTAGCTTCGGCTGCGCTCGCACCGAAGCTGAAACAAAGTATAGATGAGTTGCACCAAACTCTGGATGTAGTGCTGGTAAAGCCTCACCGTCCTTTTCGGAGCACAAAGCACTGCGCGACTCGCGGGTCTGCGGTGTCTGCTTTGCGGGTGTCGCTTCTCTGCAGCGCGTCGGTGCATGCCAAGGAGAGCACTCAACGGATTAACTTGCCGTGACGCGATCGTGACTTCGCCAGCACATCGAAAATGAATCGGAATTTTTGAAGCGAATATCAGATACCGCAATATTTGAAGCTGCTGCCCAAAAGACAACTCTAATCTGAACTAAAACATTCCACAACAGTGAGGGTCGTTGGATGCTGCTGCAGATACCTTAAAAGAAGTGCATGCTGATAAAACTTAATATCCTGTACCATCAGAACTCAGTGTGACATATTGTCACGGATGACAAGTGATGAGGCGACGAAAACTGAAGTAAACTAAATGTTTAATGGGGGTGAACTTGTGCCCAAATTAATAAAAGGAAAAGGAAACAGAAGAAAGCAGGAGAGCGTCGCGGGCTAGAGCACTCCACGGGCCGGAATTTCTAGGCCCGGCCCGACCCGGCCCGGTAGAGACACGGCCCGGGCCCGGCCCGAGCCCAACAAAATTTTTGATTTCTAGGCCCGGCCCGACCCGGCCCGGAAGAGACACGGCCCGGGCACGGCCCGAGCCCGACGGAATTTTTAATTTCTGGGCCCCGCCCGACCCGGCCCGATGGCTGTAGCCCGAAACAACCCATTCCCGTTTGAGCCCGTCCCATTTCGACCCGTTCCCGAAACGAGCTCCCCATTTGAACCCGTCCTGTTTCGACCCATTCTTTAAAGGGACCATGAAATGACTTTTTTACTTTTTCCACATAACTTTTACAATAAACCGTCAATGTTCACTGAATGCCGAACAGGCATCCGTTTTCGTCTCGGTTTATTAACTTCTACACAAAAAATAAATGAAATATCGACTTTTTCTTGACCGCAAAACAAGCCGTGACGTACGATGTTTCCGGAACCGGAAGTTCTCTCTGCAGTAGGAGATGGGAACGTTAGCGAGTTGGGGTGCGCCGGTGGGTTTTACTGCGCCGATGTCACCGACGTATTTTCTGAATCGGCGCCTCTCATCGCCGCATCGCAGCTGAACGAAATTCAATGAGATACGTTGCGCTACAGCGACAGCATGGGACTAGTCCCATACGCCGGTATGCCTGTTGGGAAGTGCAGATGGGAACAATTTGCCGCGGCGTTTTTCGCGGTCTCGGAGATGCAGGAGCGAGCCGACGTTAAAAAAGATACGTTTGAACTGTCAGCAAGAGCCACGTAAATACCTGTTCACACTCGGAGCGGACGCGCGCGTTTGATGAAGTGCTGTATTCGCGCTGTTGGTAAGCGCTTCGGGGCCGATCTTTTACAATTGCAACTCGATACTGACGCGACACTCGGCAAAGAAAGGTTGGACCGGTATTGCACGTATACCTCCCACGAACTGTTACAGCTCGACAGTGACGTGCAGTCTGTCAAAATAAAAATGGCATACCAATAACAAAGTGTACATACCGTGCTACGAAGGTAATCCATACAGCGTTTATTTCAGCTCTATATCACACAAAACAAGGAGAGGATCGACGAGGGTCCCTTTTCGACGAGTGTTCGTCAACACTGCCTCGGAAAACAAGGGGAAGAGATTGACCTCACCTCTTAACCTAAAATTGAGGTCAGCGATCAAACTATAATACGGAAGGGTCCACAAGGGTAGCGCGGGCATATTCCATTCAGTACGCCAGCCGGTCGTAGGCAGACGGTCTTGCGACGAAGCAACGCTGCGCCGAGTCGGAGTGCCTGCTAGGCCTATATTCTGAGAGTTTCGTCGGAGCGGGATTCGCGGCTGTTGTCGCTCTTCTCGGGTGTTTGTGGATCCAGCGTTCTTGTTCGTCGTGGTTTGTTTTAAGTACATTTCTTTCTTGCTGCTTGAAGTCGGCACGCGCGAGATGAACACGTAGAAAAATAAACGTTCAGTCAGCCAGAGTTTTGAGAGGAAGGAAACCGAAGGAACTAACCGTTCTGAACTTGGCCCTGCCCTACTGCGCACGCGCAGTAGTTGCTTCGTTTACCACACGATAGATGGCGCTTGGCTCTCAGCATTATCAAATTTGGCAATTTTCGCCACACATCTCTAATTATGCTACAAAATGTGGATCTGAATATTATTTAACAAAACTTTTCGGAAACATTTGCCGGCTATTTATTGTTTACGATCGCGGTGCTGGTGAGGTAGGCTCTTACCCAATAGGCGATGTGGATTCGGCTGACGTGCACCGATTCTGCGTATGCATCGTAGTGAAAAGGCAGAGCTTTCGAAGGAAAGAAGTCGCAAAAGAGTCCAGTTTTCTTTTAGAAGTTCTATAGCAAATAATTTTTTTTGGCTCCCTAGTCTTGTGTTTTTGTGTTCCTTTTCACACCTTTTACGACGTGCGGTGGATGAAATTCGATTTTAAAATCATTTCATGGTCCCTTTAAACAACCTTCCCATATGAACCCGTCCCGTTTCGACCAGTTCCCTAAACGCCCTTCTCGTTTGAATTTGTCCTGTTTCGACCCATTCCCTAAACGCCCTTCTTATCTGAACCAGTTTCCGAAACACCCTTTGCGTTTGAACGCGTCCCGTTTCAACCTACTTTTAGAAGGCCCTGCACATTGCAACCTCTTCGCAAAAAGTCTCCATCGTTCTAAGCCTGGTCTGCGCACCTTTTCTGTTTAAGAATATGTTCTGAAGTAGCTTTACATGTCAACGCGTTCTTAAAATATACAACCCTTTCAGGCAAGCTTAAGTTAAATATATATTTCTACTTAACCCCTTACAACGTTTTTTTCAAGATGGTTCCCAAAACGTGCAAGCGCGGAACGGACTATGTACACTGCGCGACGCTGATACCGCGAACACGGCGTTGGCTCTTTTTTCGAATTTTACTTCGAAATGGTGTTAGTAGGCACCAAAGTGTACCGCTTAGGTCTGTGGCCCAGATGAGCACTTCTAAAGACACTAATAGTTTTGAAAACAGCGTTTTGATTCTATGAGATAAACATAAACACACGACGATCGCTTGTTCGCGCTAATAGAGTGTCGCGCTCTGTGCAATAAGGGAGTCTTAGAATAACGTACTCAAGCACTTTGGGCAAGCTAAAATTAGCATCACCATAGGTCTTACATCGCAACGCTATTTTTACGGTACCCAAAGCGCTTGCGTACGTTTTTCTAAATCTTCCTAATAGTGAACTAGATATTTTTGAGAGCGATGAATCAGACAGGTTGACAAGCACATGACTGGGACTTTATTTTGTTTACAATTCATAACACTGAACCCTCGCTCACACGGAAAAAGCTTGAAGGCTTTCTAGCTTCAAGACGTCTTTTAGTTATTATTTTTAACGACGCTGTAGTGAATTTGCACTTCGCTTTTTTTTTGTATTCAATGAACCTAAAAGATTAAGGAGCAAACTTTTTGCTATCAACAATTTATGATTTACGGCACAAGATTGCCCAGGCACGGCCCGGGCCGGCTCGGCCCGAGAACTTTTTTGTTCAAGCCCGAGCCCGGCCCGGGCCCGAGAAAATACGTACTACCCGGCCTGAGCCCCGCCCGCGGGCCGGGCCGGGCTCGGGCTTTCGGACTGGCCCGGGACAGTGCAGTGCTCTATCGCGGACGACGATGTCGGCGAAACCGCAGATCGAGCGCTGGAGCGAGACTGAGTCCGGTTCGCCACGCGGCGGCCCTTATGTACATGCGTGAGCTTCTGGAATAATCGGCGTAGAATCTTCGACGCGTAGAACATTCGGACCTCGAACACGCAACATGATTCTCGAATCTAGCAGAAAA